CTCTTGCTATGGCTCTAATAGCTCTGACCCCCGGGCAACTTTATTTATTAACATACAATGAAAATCACATTTCAGTACAAATAAAATACCACCATAGAACATTGTCACACTGGCCACAGAATCACAAGAAAACACAAAGTTGATTTTTCACCTAAGTGATACCTTAAAAAATTTGTGGAAACATTGACCTTGGATCATTAGCTAGAAAGAAAAAATAGATTATCTATAAAAACATTTTTAATTACTGTATCAAATTGGTACAAACTTTCCACAAAAGAAATGTAGCTTTGTTGAAGAAGCAAATCCCTTGGAATAGGCTTTCTCTTAGTTAGGGTTTCTATTGCTGTGAAGAGACACCATGACCACAGCAACTCTTATAAAGGAAAACATTTAATTGGGGCTTACTTACAGTTCAGAAGTTTAGTCCGTCATTGTCATGGTGGGACTCATGGTAGAATGCCAACAGACATGGTGATGGAGAGGTAGCCAAGAGTTCCACATCTGGATCTGTAGGCAGCAGGAAGAGACAATGAGTCACTAGGCCTGGCATGAGCTTCTGAAACTTCAAATCCTACCTCACAGTGACACACTTCCTCCAACAAGGCCACATCTCCTAATAGTGCCACTCCCTATGGGCCTATGGGTCTATTTTCATTCAAACCACGACAAGATTAGAGAATTTATAGACTTAACTCACTTTCAGTTTGCTTTCTCTGCTTTTTGTTTTCAAGTTAGAGATGTGATGTGATCTCTCAGCTTCCTTCTCTAGCTGCTTGCTGCCATGCCTCTCCAAACATAATGATCTCTCTCTCTCTCTCTCTCTCTCTCTCTCTCTCTCTCTCTCTCTCTCTCTCTCTCTCTGAAACTATAACCCCAAATAAACTCTTATAAGTTTCTTTTTGTCATGTATCTTATCACAACAGAAAAATCAACTAATACATGATCTATACTTAGGGGGAACAAGATTAACAGTAATATTTGGGGGATGTAGAACTGGAAGATCCAAGCTGCAGTTGTTCCTACTTTGGGTTCACCTGCTATCTTCTGTGTAGGATTGATCAATCTGTATCTATGATAAGGTTCTTCCTTACGTAAGTGACCAAATATTCAGTTGGAAGTTTTAGATTAGAAAGATATAGTACCAAGAGAATAATGGGACATGAATAAAAGAGGTTAACTAATATTAGCTCTCTAATAAACATGCATTCTGAGAGTAGAACTGCATATAAAATATTTGCTTATCTGTCACACACATTTATAATTAATGATGTGCCCATTTCTAAGATCATAGTAGACATGTCTTCACCAGAATTCCAGGTTTGAATCACACCCTTTAAGCACTTATTGCCCTTGGGGTTGCTTACCTGGTTAGATTGAACCAGGAGCTCTTGATGACTGGCTAAGCACCAAGAATTCTGTCCATGGTTGCTAAATTTGCCCATTTATTCTATTTTCTCAGTTTCTGTGAAATCCTTGAGTAAGAAAGTAGAACTGTCCTGTTCTAACTGTACAATAGTATTTTTAATTTTCATAGCTAACATTAAAAAGTGTTCCCATATTTAAATCCAAGTCCACTAACAAGTTAAAGCTTAAAATTAGGGAAACTAACACACTGATTTCATGACTAAATCATTTATTCTAATAATGCAGTGGGCCTATGATCTATTCAACTTTTACTACTAAATCAAAGTATGCTAGTAATTATAGACATGTTTAATCAGTTTGCCCATTAGGTATACTTCCACCCAACTATCTTGTGATTACAATTCTGACTGACTTGGATGCCAGCTAGTGTAAAAGAGGGCCACAATTAGGAGCACATTGAAGTGTAAATTGCCTACCTTCCATTTTGGAGAAGTAACATATTCTTTTATACTGGAAGTTCTAGCATTTCAGGACAGTTTCAGAGTGTCTGTCACGTAGTCATATAAGAGTCAAAAAGCACACCACTTCTTTCTTGGAAATTCAATGTTCTACACTTAATGCAATCTGATAAAGTAGATCTAAATTACTAGTGAATATAGTTAATTTGAAGTAACTATAAACAAAATACAGAATCAATTTCTCAATAGCAATTCCCATATTTTACATGTTCAATAGTCACTGGTGACCCATGGATATTCTATTAAATGGAGATTATTTCCATTATTATAGGAAGTTCTGTTGGACAGCCCACCTTTGCACAATACAAAGGATTCTTCCTTCAGAAACTTGCTACTGGTGTACTACTAGATCCTAATAAATAATGAGTAAAGTACCATGGGACACTAAATTGCCTCACAATGGGAAATATTCATTTTAAACTGGTTTGTAAGATGTATGAATTATAAATTGGGTCTGAATAAAAAAGACAAAGTCTCCAAATTGGGTTTAGAATAATACAAAAGATAAAAAGCTTATAGGTAAAATTGCTAAATATTGGCATTAAAAGCATCTGTGAGAACTCATAGATGCTTTCTTTAGATAATATACAAAGATTTTAAGGATATAAAGACATTGAGAGGGGAAAATCAAAGAGACAAAAATCCCTATTGTCCAAAAGCTAGCCTATAACAGAATGCAACTAATTAAAGGTCATCTTCTAATGTCATTTTATTTGATTCTTGCTACATTTAAGATGAGAATATGAATCAGAACTTAGAAAGTACAATATCTAAAAATAGTACAGCATTTATAATTCGTTATAACATACTCTCTAATCTCAAGTAGTTTTACTAAGGAAGTTTATAATGTGGTAATAAAGTATAATATTCACACCAAATCAATTTTTTTTGTAATTTGTACCCAGAAATCAATAAACAGTGCTGAAATCAACATGGAGTAAAGGTGTAAGTTTAAAATAATGGAAGATTGATATAATTTTCTTTGAAGATTTATCTATAAGTAGAATTACAGGATAATGTTACCTGTAATATTTTTTAGAATATTTCATACTGTTTTTATAGTGCCTGCATAAATTTATAATCCCAAGAACAGAGTGCAAGTGTTCACATTACTTCCCATGTTGTCAACACTAACTATTATTTTATTATACCCATCATAACAGGTGTGAGCTGTATTTCTTTATAGTTGTAATTTACATTTCCTTGGTGAATAGTAATTATAGACCTCATAGGACATTTTGGTTGCATTTATTTTGGGTATTTATACACATTCTTTGCAGATGTTTTATTAAATATATAGTTTACAAGTACCTCCAGTTCTGTAGGTTGAGTTAATGTTTGATTCATTATATTGCTTTCTGTTGGTTAGGCAGATGTTGTTAGTTTAATACAGTACCATTTGTCTATTTTTTAGTAGACTTTACCTTTGCTTTTGGTGTTATTATAAAACAAAACAAACACAAGCTTTGCAAGGACTGGTGCCAGTAAACTCTTTTTTTCATGTTTTGTCTAGTAGTTCTATTGTTTCAGTCTTCCATTTGAAATTTTAATCTATCTTCAGTTAATTTTGTATGTGGTATGAGATAAACATTCATTTAATTGTTTTAGCCAGTTTTTCTGAATACCATATATTTAAGAGAATATATTTCAGCTTATTGTGATTTCTCTGCACATTTGTCCAAGATTATTTTATGAACATTTGGAAAGAATTTTTCATGTTCTATTATTTTCCATTCATCTTTCTGTCTCATTATTGTCAATATCATGTTTTCATTGGGTTACCTTAAAATATCTTTTGAAATCAGGACATACAGTGCTTATTTTATTTGTTTGCTTTTCCTTTCTAGAATTGTCTTTGTAATTTGGGGACTGCACTGGTTAATTTTATCTGTCAACTTGACAAAATGCAGAATTACCTTGAAAGAGAGTCTCAGTTGAGGAATTTTTTAGATCAGGTTGTTCTATGAACATATCATCTATTGAGGATCTTTTCGTCATTAACAATGTAGAAGACCTAGCCGGTTATGGGTGGCACCCTTCCCTGCTTTGTGCTCCAGGATTATATGAATGTAGAGAGAGATAGTTAATTATAAAACAAGCAATCAGTATGGGCACATTAATTTATTTCTGCTCTTGTCTGTAGATGTGCTGTGAGTAGCTGCATAAGTTCCTATGCTGTATATCCCTGAAAGGTAGACGCTAATTTGAAATAGTAAGCCAAAACCATATTTTATATTATGGTATTAACATAAGAATTTGGGGACACGATAATACTCCTGAAAGCTGCCCAGCCACCTTAGACTGCAACCCTCCCCTGGGCTTCATACTAGGGCCCACAACACAGCAGCTTTACAAGAGCCCAGAGTAGTCCTACAGAACCCAGGTAAGATACTCCCCAGTGCCCACTAAACCCCTTTAAGCCCACCCAACAACCCCAAACTGCGCCCCTTCCCCTGGAGTCCATATTCTGGCCTACAACTTCAGAAGAAGCCTTCAGCTTTACTAGAGGCCAGGCCAGATACAGGGATACCAGCCCTGGCAGAAAACTTCGGCTATACTGGAGGCCACATCATACTAGGAATCCCAGAGGTCCAGCAGGGGAGTTACTCAGAACCCCAGACGTCACACAGGTACTCGGAACTACAGAGACAAAATTGTAACCCAAAATCCTAGAAGTTTACAGACTGCATAAGCCCCAGCAGAGAGACACCCTACTAGATGTGAAGATGTGAAGACTTTTTCCATTTTTTTTTTTTTTTT